TGGGCACACAGAGGACTGGGCGACTTGGAAGGCACTGAACAGACTGTGCTCTGGCACCACGAGATGCAGAGCCAACCTTCAGAAATGGGGCCACAAAGTAGAATCCTCGACATGCGAGTGTGGAGAAGAGCAAACCACTGGCCACCTGCTTCAATGCACCCTGAGCCCTGCCACATGCGCAATGGAGGACCTTCTTACAGCAACTCCAGAGGCACTCCAAGTGGCCAGATACTGGTCAAAGGACATTTAATCAACTACCAAACTTCACAAATTTTGTATTTTGTCTGTTTGTTTGCTTTGTTCTGTTAGAAATGTAATATATTTGACTGGTTGTCCTGACACAACAAATAAATAAATCCACATTTTCCTATTTCTTGGCTTTATATAGGTTTTCTTATTTTCATTATAAAGTGTTGGGTGATATGTTCCTTGTCCCATCAAAAGTAACACAACTTGACCACCATTTTTCCCCTTTCCCATTTGGTTTTGGCCATTTTTCTTTTAATAGAGGTGTTCGAAAGTTCACGGGGCTGAACAAGTGACACTCATCTGCTCGAACCTGATTCCAGCTGTGTTTGGGTTAACAATCACCTCAAAATTGGCCCATCCAAAAAAGGTACAGATACTCCCCCCACCCCCACCTTGGCTTAATGCAATGATGGGCAACCTTTTGAGCGTAGTTTGTCAAAATTCGCCAAAAAACTGAGCATAATTCAGGTGGTGTGTCACTTCAAGAAAAAAAAACATAATTTCGCAATATTTAGTTTAAATAACAAAAAATATATAATTGTAATTCCCATTTTCGCTCTTATCATGTTGTTCTACCTCTCTTTATGTAAATAATATCCTTTTTGGAGTGTTTAATAAAAATATATTTTTAAAGACCCAACAAAATATTATTTATTTTTAATTTAATTTAAATGTATTTCTAGCATTTAATATGCTATTTAATGTATTTCTAATAATAATAATAATGCAATAACAATAAAGTAACATTGCAAAATAATATTTTGATATTTAATTTACCATTTCATTTAAGGCATATATATATATATATATATATATATATATATATAAAGGCATATATTAAAAATATTTAAAATGCATTAAATTAAAATGCATTTAATTAAATGTCAAATTAAAATTCAATTTACCATTTCATTTAAGGCATTCTGAAATATTTGAGTAATATAGCAAAATATTATTTATGATTTAATTTAATTTAAATACGTAACTCCTTAATAGGAAACAATGCAAAATAATATTCGTTTACTTAATAATTAAATAAACCAATATTATTTTGCAATGTTACCTAAATATTAATAATATAAAAATATTTTTAAATTTGACATTTAATTTAATGCATTTTAATATTTGAATAATATAGCAGAGTAATAGTATTTATCATTCAGTTTAAATATGAAACTAAACAAATAATATCCGGCAGGCGCGTGTCAGTAGAAATGGCTTCGCGTGTCAGTACTGAGACGCGTGTCATAGGTTCGCCATCACGGGCTTAATGTGTTGGTGTGTGTTAAGTCTAGTAAAGAACAGATTGAATGAATTTTCCTTGCTCTTTTGGGACCTCATCACATTGACCTCATTACCTCCCACAACCAACAGAAAATTCTGGGTTTGGTTCGCATTGACCTTGAGTCTAGGAGGTATAGTTCACATACATCCAGAGAGCACTGTGAACTCAAACAATGATAGATCTGGACCAAACTTGGCACAAATACTCAATATGCCCAAATGTGAACACTGGTGGAGATTGGCGGAAATAGTCCTTGACATTTGAGAGTTATAGTTGCTTGGATTTATAGTTCACCAACAATCAAACAGCATTCTGAAACCCACCAACAATAGAATTGGGTGAAACTTCTCACACAGAACTCCCATGACCAGCAGAAAATACTTTATTTTCTGGTGGTCTTTGGCAACCCTTCTGACACACCCTCGTGAACCCCCCAGGGGTCCCAATCCCCAGGTTGAGAAATGCTACCTTAAGGCCATCCGGTCCAACTCCCTTCACCAGGGCAAGGAAACATAATCAAAGCCCTCCTGACAAAGAGCCAGCCAGCCATAGATATAGATAGATATATATGATTCACACACACACATATGTATATGACAGATATAATATCATAGATTTGAAAGGGACCCCTAAGGAAGGACAATAATATGTTGTATATTCCAGAGTAGGCAAACCAGACAATCTCTACATCAGCACTGACAAAGAAACAACCAGAAATACTGTTTACCCACACAGAGAAAGACATTACATATATATTACATATATATTACATATATTAGAAACCAACACTTTCCAGATCACCAGACTAGGCCACAGCAATGTGTGGCAGGGAGTAGCTAGTGCTAAATATTCATTAATAATGAAACTGCCCCCCATAGCGAACCAGGGCTCTACACTGATATATTATGCTGTTTCAAGTGGCATATATGGCAGTGTAGATGGGGGCATCTCTGTGTTAAGGTGCTTCTTGCCCTGTGTGCTTTTTAGTATCTGTCTTACTGGATATGCAAGAACACCGATTTCTTCTGGTCAAAGGAAATTTAGTATATGCCAAGTTTTAACTCTGTTTGTGGTTTTTCTATACATTATAACTGTGTTCTCAATTCGCTTCTAACACAATAAATAAAATAAATATCAATTTCTTCCATGTGCTTGGAGGGGGGGGGGTGTTATCTAGGTTACTGTCACTCCTTCCAGCTATAACTTTTTGTTTCCTCTCTTTCAGTAGTAATTGAAGTTACTCAACAATACTTCGACCTATAGAAAAATGGCCAATGCATTATATTATATCTTTATATCTATATCTATAAAAATGCTCTGTGCATAATGAGTACCTTAAAAACAAAAGAACCAATAAACGAAATCACACCAAATTTGGCAACAAAACATCTCACAACACAAGGAGTGACCATCACTCAAAAAATTATTATTTTGTCATTTGGGAGTTGTAGTTGCTGGGATTTATAGTTCACCAACAATCAAAGAGCATTCTGAACTCCATCAACAATGGAATTGAATCAAATGTGGCACACAGAACTTGCATGACCAACAGAAAATACTGGAAGGGTTTGGTGGGCATTGACCTTGAGTTTGGGAGTTGTAGTTCACCTACATCCAGAGAGCACTGTGGACTCAAACAATGATGGATCTGGACCAAACTTAACACAAGCACTCAATACGCCCAAATACAAACACAGATGAAGTTTTGGGGAAATAGACCTTGACATTTGGGAGTTGTAATCACTGGGATTCACAGTTCACCTACAATCAAAGAGCATTCTGAACCCCATGAACGACAGAATCGGGGCGAACTTCCCACACAGAACCCCCATGACCAACACTTAAGGCCGTCCAGTCCAACTCCCTTCATCAGGGCAAGAAAACGTAATCAAAGTCCTCCTGACAAAGAGCTATCTAGCCATAGAGATATATAGATAGATAGATAGATAGATAGATAGATAGATAGATAGATAGATAGATAGATATGATTCACACACACATATAGTATCACAGATTTGAAAGGGATCTCTAAAGAAGGACATTTGCATGTTCCAAAGTGGGCAAACCAGACACTCTCCACATCAACATTGACAAAGAAACAGCAAGAAATACTGTTTATCCACAAGCATAAAGAAATTACTTATATTAGAAACCTACACTTTCTCATTACTTTATTTTCCAGATCAACAGATTGGGCCACAGCAACGCATGGGCAGGGGACTAGTGTGTATATATATGTATGTTGTGTGTGTGTGTGTGTGTGTGTGTGTGTGTGCTTTATATATTATATATATATATATATATATATATATAGGCATGTAGGGGGGGCTTGAGGGGCTTCAGCCCCCCCCCCCCGAAATTCTCATGGTGGTTCGCGAAAAGGCCTTACTGGTGCATTATTTAAACTGTTATGTTTATTCATATCATGATCTGATCACCATACTCAATATATCCCATATGCATGGGGGTATTGGGGTAACGATACAAAAGGTTTGCTAGGGTAGACCCTCTTTCACTCAGACTCAGCCCCCCCGAACCAAACTCAGCCCCCCCCCCCGAAACAAAATCCTGGCTACGGGCCTGAGATATATATATATATATATATATATATATATATATATATATATATATCGTTATATAATTGAGCTCATTTAATCTCTGGAACTGAAATTAATCAAAAAATATGTCCTGCAGTGTTGATTATGTGATTGGAGTGGCAGGCAGTCCTTCCAAGCATATACAACTCAAGGGGGTTATAGCCATTTATTTATCTCTCCCTCCCTCCTTCCTTTCTCTCAAAATAAAATTCAATACAGCCATATTGGCTTAATTACTCACATATGTGACTAAAATGTTCTCTCTAGGAATCTCTAGATCAGCGTGACACTGTGGTCAACTTCCTCCAGTCATGTTAGAGGAACTAGAGATTTGTAGAGAGAACAACTCTCTAGGATTCTCTGGGTTTTCCAATGCGATTCTATAATTAGCTTCCAGCTGAAGATGACCATGGAGACATGCCGGAAGGTCTAGAACTTCCTAGAGAAGTGTTCCCTCAAGTTAAAAAAAACAACTTCTTTATTCATCATTGTTTACTTTCAGGGAGTTTCTATGTCCTCAGCCCAGCTAAGGCAGAGGGCTGACTATATGCAGAATTAGATGTTAAAAACCCATTTAACTAATGTAAGTGCATAATTTCTGCATAGGATGTGAACATACTGAGAATCAACATGTACGAAAAATCAAAACAGCAGCATCTATTTCTGATCTGATGTTTTTTAAGGCTTTCTCATATACTTTAGTGCTGGCTAATTTACAATTTCTGTGTAAAACTAGGTACTAATGCTGTTATTCGTGGTGCAAACACATTTACAGAAATAAAGGTATTTCAGTTACTTCCTCACCATGAACCACCTTCTTAAGCAAGACCTCTTAAATGAAAACAACAACAACCAAAGAGTAAACTTACTGTGTGCCCCAGTTTCCATTCTGCAGGCAGGTCGTATAGTTGAAAATTGCAAAGATGTAGAAAGAGGTTGGCTACATTCACTGTCAGCAGTTGGTTTCTGATCTCACACAGGGTTATCATTGCCGAAGAGCCCAGTGCGAATAGGTTATTTCCATCCTAACCCAAGCTTTCGGGGAGAAAACTGCAAATCGGTCAATTAGCCAGAGTGTTTTTCCCCCGAGCAATCATCATTTGACTGGGAAGTGAAAACAGTCCCCCAATAGCTACTGGTGCTCAGAGCATCTTGTAGCTGGGATTTGTAAATCTCTTCCACAAACTCCATAGACAAGCAAAAGGAAGAGCAACAGCAGGGGATAATAAAAAAGAAAAATCCAGGGCAAAGCCGATGTCTTAAGTTAGAATCTGCTGTGCTGAAGAGCCACGAGGAGCAGCTGCTTCTGCGTATGAGGATTAGATGAGGCCTCTTAGCTCATTAGTGCTGCAGTTAGACCCACGGTGCGTGTGAAAGAGTGGACAGTGCTACCTGGCAGGAGGTCAGTGTGGCAGGCCTTATGAGAATATCTCTCAGGTTGCTCATGTTACTGTACCACTTGGATGCTGCCTACTCATTGCAGCATGAAATATTCAAGTGATTATCTTGTAATGAACTGTATAATCAAAGCAAGGCCATCAGGCTGTGCTTGGCCTTTAACCTGGAGGCAGAGGTGCCTCTGTGGCATAGTACTAGTAAAAGGTTTTACTGAGGAACAGCTTAGGGAACTGGTTGGGTTTAGCTTAGAGGGGAAAAAAAGGCTGAGAGTGGACATGGATAATAGGGATGTGCAAATCAGGTAAACCCCATGTCATTTTCGGTGTCAAGTTTTCAGCTGATTCCCAATCCATTTTTTGAGAGCTACCCAAATTTGGGAGGGCAAAATGCCATTTTTCGATCCAGCAGGGGGAAGATCCGTTTTCACTCCGAGATGATCCGGCCCATGGGTGGCAATGGGGGGACTTCTGCACCTCCCCTTTTTGTCATTTTTAGGTCTATCGGGATGAAAATGGCCACACTTGGAGGACACATTTACCTCTGCTAGCCCCTCAAGTTTCAGAACGTTTGGGTCATCCAAACATTCTGAAACTTGACGTTAAGACATTCTTAAACTTTCTAGAAATAAAATCACCTTTTTTTTTTTAAAAAAAAAAAGCCCTTATAGGAGGTATCCTGTGAGAGAATCTTATAGAGCCGTGGTTCTCAGCCTGTAGGTCCCCAGATGTATTGGCCTTCAACTCCCAGAAATCGTAACAGCTGGTAAACTGGCTGGGATTTCTGGGAGTTGTAGGCCAAATCACCTGGGAACCCATAGGTTGAGAACCACTGTTAAAGAGATTGCCTGGCAACTTGGTCCAGCAGCACCCACACCATGGCTACACCGATACACACACACACATATTATTGTGTGTGTTTGTGTATAATATTTGGGAGGGGGGAAATAGGCTCAGGCTTCTTGTGAGAAAGAAGGATTGCATGCATACAGAAGCCACAAGAAAAATACAAGAGAGAGTGAAAGAGCAACAACAAACAATTTACAGGGGCTTTTAAAATATTTTTTAAATTTTTATAAAGAATTGTTTTTGGGGAGGAAGACTGCAGTGCTAGACTAGGGTTAGAGTACACAAACCAGAGGGCACACATGCACACACAAACCAGATGAATTGGGGCAGGAGTACATGAGCCCGAAGGTAGGGCAGGGGAGGGAAATGAGGTGAACGAGAAGAAACGGCTTTTTTTCTGGCAATTTTTAAAAACACATTTGGGGTTAAGGGGAAATAAAGTGCAGGAATGAGTACAGAGAGAAGCAAGAAGATAGGTCTGGGTGAAACTGAGCAATTTAAAGCAACCATGGGTAGTGAGATCTGGGCCAGATACTGGTAGCTAGATTTTGTTCATTTGCATGGTTTCGTCCTTTCTGTTGAAATTGCTATGGAATCATGAATGCTGTAGTTAGGTAAGGAACCAGCACTACTGGGTAAGAACAAAGGTGTACAAGATGGCTGAAATCTGATTAGCAATTCATTTCGGCAATTCAGATGGCCTCCACTTCAATTCATAAAGATTAGGAGGGGTCCCATTCCGATTCATGAGCATAAGCTTCATAATAGCTTCATTAAAATTGGTTTAATTAGCAGCAATCGGGAAAATTTTGAGGCGCATTCTCCATCAGTTTATGGCTATCAGGATGAAACTAGACACACTTGGAGGCAACATTTATAATGTTTAACCTGCCAAGTTTCAGAACATTTGTTTCATCCATAGATTTTTACATTTAAAAAAACTAGAAGTGATATTCCCTTGAATTTCGTCACAATCAGACAACATAAGCAGGGCATCAATCTTGCAAAGTTTCAGAACCATTCATTCATCTACTGATATTTAGGAATATTTTTAAGTTTTTTCAATAAAAAAATTTAAAAACTGCAAGAGGCCTTAAATCAGGGGTCCTCAAACTAAGGCCTGGGGGCCAGATACAGCCCTCCAAGGTAATTTACCCAGCCCTTGCTCAGCATCAACCTAAATCTGAAACAACTTGAAAGCACACAACAACAGCAATCATATCTCAACAGCCAAAAGCAGTCCCACACTTCCCATTGAAATACTAATAAATTTATATTTGTTAAAATTGTTCTTCATTTTAATTATTCTATTGTTTTTTAAGTGTTTTTTGCACTACAAATAAGATATGTGCAGTGTGCATAGGAATTCATGGTTTGTTTTTTAAATTATAATCTGGCCCTCCAACAGTTTGAAGGAGTGTGACCTGGCCCCCAGGTTGTGCTAGTCAGCTTTCGTATGATATTGTTTCTAGCACCCCCTTTTTGTTTGATGTTCAGGCAGTGCTTCTTGTAGGTCAGAGAACGGTCCAGAGTGACTCCCAGGGATTTGGGTGCGCTGCAATGCTCCAGTGGGATTCCTTCCCAGGTGATCCTCAGAGCTCGGGATGCTTGTCTGTTCTTAAGGTAAAAGGCACATGTCTGTGTTTTAGATGGATTGGGGATCAGCTGGTTTTCCCTGTAATAGGCAGTAAGAGCACCTAGAGCTTCAGAGAGCTTCTGTTCTACCATCTCAAAGCTCCCTGCTTGAGCAGTAATGGCACGATCATCAGCATAGATGAAACTCTCTGTCCCTTCTGGCAGTGGCTGGTCATTTGTGTAGATGTTGAACATGGATGGAGCAAGCACGCTTTCCTGAGGCAGGCCGCATAGATGAAACTCTCTGTCCTTTCTGGCAGTGGCTGGTCATTTGTGTAGATGTTGAACATGGATGGAGCAAGCACGCTCCCCTGAGGCAGGCTGTTCTTCTGTTTCTGCCATCTGCTTCTCTGGCCCTGGAACTCAACATGAGTTGAGTTCCATGAAAAATAATAAAAGTAGCTATGTCTACTATATCTTTCCTGGACAATGGCAAGATGCCTCTTCACTCTAGAGAAGACAAAAGGAGAAGAAGGCAGGCCAATATGGAGAACTCTGACCATAGAACCACCTCTACCAGAGTCTTTGCAGTTGTATTGTTATGAAGACTTAAAGATAGAATTGCAAATACTTTGTCACAAGCCAGTAAAGGGGGTCCCAGTAGTGATCGGCACACTGGGTGTAGTGCCCAGAGACCTTGGCCTGCACTTAAAAACAATTGGCACTCACAAAATTGTCATCTGTCAGCTGCAAAAAGCCACCCTACTGAGATCTGCAAATATTATTCACCGATACATCACACAGTCCTAGACACTTGGGAGGTGTCTGGCATGTGATCAAATAGAAAAGCCAGCATAGTGATCTTGTTTGCTGTGTACTAATCTTGTTATGTATCCAATAATAATACTCAGGGGACTCAGGGCAGTTTACACACAAAGAAGTCAAACATTCAATGCCCTACACAAATACAAATATTTTAAAAATAATAATAAATAATAAAAATATAACAATAAAGATATATTAGCATATAAAAGAGAAATTAGCATCAAAATGAAAAACAAACGATGAATAATCAAATAAACATAATTATACTGATAACTTATTTTACCTGGTTCTGTAATAAAGCTTGTGGTTGTCGAAATTGAAGGATTCTCTGATGGACCAAACTTATTAGATGTTACATGGGGATCATAGTTTCAGAAGCAGGAGTGATATAAAATTCTTGCTTCCCAATAATATGGCTGTCTGGCTATAATTTACATTTAATTCATATAATTGTTTGATTTTAAATGTATCTGGTTTGTACTCAATTTTATTTTATTAAGCTATGTTTATAATGTCTTTCCATGCTTTCAATTATATCCTTTTGTACCATCCCAGCATTGCTTGTTTATGTTTCCCAGTATAGTGTCTACACTTATGTAAGATATATATAACCACTAGCTGTACCCTGCCACACGTTGCTGTGGCCTATAGTAAATCTTTTCAAAGTAGAGGTAGATATCTGGAGTATTATGAAAGAGAGGTACTACCTATTCCTTCCCCCCTTTTCTCCCCCTTCCTCTCCTTTCTTCCTTCTCTTCCTCTTTCTTTCTTTCTTTCTTTCTTTCTTTCTTTCTTTCTTTCTTTCTTTCTCCCTTTCTTCCTTTGCCTCCTTTCTTCCCTCCATGTTTCCTTCCTTCTTTCATTTTTTATTTTCCTTTCTCCTTCCTTCTTTACCTTTTTCCTGTCTTTCCTTCCTTTTATTTTTCTTTCCTTTGCTGTGGCCAACCTTCCCTCTTTCTCTCCTTTTTCCCTCTCCTTCCTTCCTTCCTTCCTTCCTTCCTTCCTTCCTTCCTTCCTTCCTTCCCTTCCCCCTTTCCTTCTCCTCTTCCTTCTCTATCTCTTTCCTTCCTTCCCCCTTTTTCTTTCTCTTCTGCTCTCTTTTCTTCCTTCTCTCTTTCCTTCTTTCCTTCCCTCCCTCTTTCTCTACATCTTCCCCCTTCCTTCACTCCCTCTTTCCTTCCTTCATTCCCTTTTTTCTTTCCTTCTCTCCTTCCTTCCTTCCCCCTTTTTCTTTCCCTCCCTCTTTCTCTCATTTCTTCCTTCTCTACCTCTTTCCTTCCTTCCCCCTTTTTCTTTCTCTTCTGCTGTCTCTCTTA